ATTTGAGGGGTGGTTTCACCCCCTTAGAATCCGAGTTTCGAAAAATCCCTTCTTATCGAACCTCTACACCCTAAAGTCAATCCGTTTTCCAAAAATCAGCATTTTACGTCAAGCGCTTTAAGCAGGATCGTGATTAATCAATGACCAGATTTTTCGAAACACCCTGTATATATTTTTTAAAAATCCTAAAATATGTAAAAAAACTAAATAAAATATGCGTGTTTAAGCATTTTTCCGGAAACTTGACCGTTTTTTAAATAAAAAATATTTTAATATTTGAAGGGTGGTTTCACCAGTTTCACCCCCTTGGAACTCGAATTTCGAAAAATCTCTTCTTATCGAACCTCTACACCCCAGAATTAACCTGTATGCCAAAACTGAGCTTCTTACGTTGAGTGGTTTGAGCAGGATCGTGATTAATCAGTGAGTCAGTCACTTAAGGATTTTATATATTAGAATAGATAAGAACAAATATCTATGAATTGAAATGTACCCTGACGGACACGAAAAATGGGCATCTTAAAATTTTTATATATTTCAAATTTCAATATGTTTTGTTCTAGTCGGCCAAATTTGATGATTTTTGAAACTAAAAGCAAAGGCTTTAATTTTTAATGAATTTTTATTTTATTTAGAAAGAGTCAAATAATTTAGGTACTAAGTAGTTAATTTTAGTTTAGCTACAATACTTAAGAATTCATCAAAATTGGTCTACCAGAACAAATATGTCGAACTTATAAATGCATGAAAATGTTGAGGTTGTTAGTTTTTGGAGCAAAGGTGAAAAGGAATTTCAAAGTACAAGAATATATTATTTTACAATTAAAGGGAAAACACTTCAGTTAAAGATATCTTTAATTTAATGAAGATTTTTTTAAGACATTTTAATTATAAGAATACCTACATTGTCTTGAAGACGGATCAAATTTGTATTGAAGAAAATAATATGTCCCGGACAAGAAATCAAACTTAAAGATATAATTTTTCTTAAATGTAATGAAATATCAATTGTTTAAACTGAAACAAAGACTTCATCTTTAATAATGATGTATTTAAAAAAAATAGTATTTATGAAAATTATATATCCATTCTTCATAGAATATATTATTTTCGTTCTACCGGGTGCGTCTCAAAAGTGGCTCACCCCTATAACTTTTTTATTTTTTCAGATAAGGAGACGAAATTTGGTATTTAGTATATGACATAAATTTGGACTGATTGTCGTATTCAATTGTTTTCTGTCACTTCTTGTTTCACCGGAAATGACTACGAATTTTGATTTTTAAATGGCACCCTCCGTATTCTTTACTTTATTCGATAGAAAATGACACTCTGAATAAAATAACGTATCATATGTCAACTTTTGACATTCTCGCTTTGAAAAAAATCGTATTTTATATTTCAATCTAGAGTGCCATGGTTGTGTTAAAATCATTAATTTTTGATTAAAGAGGCTTGGAAAAATAGATTTGATCGTCTAATGTTTCCGTGTCTTGTCCTGGCCAGATAAAAGATGCCCGACTCGTATTTTTAATCATATCTAATTTTTTTCAAATTGAACAAGAGTGGCTCATTAGCATATTTGAAAAAATCATTTTTTACTAACAATTTGGTACCACACACCCTAAATTAAAATTTAAAATTTAAAATTCTATTTTTTCAATTCAAAATGTCAAAAGTTGACATATGCTATGTCATTCTACTCAGAATGGTATCTTCTATCAAATGAAGTAAAAAAATACCAAGGTTGAAAACAATTGAATACGTCAATCAATCCTAATTTATGTCATATACTAACATACCAAATCTCGATTTTTTAATCTGAAAAAAATAAAAAAGTTATAGGGGTGAGCCACTTTTGAGACGAACCCGATATACAAATGACACATTAACTTAAGGAAAAACAAGCTTTATCAAAATAATTAAATGTAGTTTACTTCTACTTAACTAATTCTACTTTGGTTAACTGAGTTGAGATTAAATCGTTAATTTTGACGGCTATCCTCATCCATTTTTATCCAAATCGATAAAAATCTCCACAATCCACAATACACTTCCTTTTAATACCCGCGAACGTGCACAAAACATAATAATCTTTGAAATATCGTCCGAAACTTAATACCTTCCAACCCTACACAAAAATAAACCGTTTTCGCTGTTTCCACTTCTATACCGCATTACTCTCCAGAGCACAGCTCTCCTGAGATTCCAGGCCGCGGAACTCTCGTCAATAAATTTTCCACTCTATAAAACCGAGGCAGCCGGATTTTCGATGAGCCCTCGGCCCGTTTAATATTGCTCTGCAGGTATTTAAAACCCTACGGCGGGCAATCCCCAAATTCTGATGCCCTGGATAGAGAATAACGCGAAATAGTTGTGAATAGATCGTCGAATGCTTCCGGTTAGAGAAGATTAAAATGGTCGGCAAAGAAAACCAGCCATTAATTTAAGGGAAATGAAAATTAAGAGAGGTTTATATTTTATATTAATAAAGATAGTATGGGTGCATCAGTAAAACCAGGCTTTACTTAGATTAATAGAAGATGAATAATGCTTAGCTATCACTAAAAAAAATAATTGGTGAATTTAGTAACAAGATTGGGGGTTATTTCTTTCCACAGATTATTGTAGTAAATTTACCATCTATTCTTTAATTTTACAAAAATTGCTGTATTGCTAATTTATGGCGTGTATATAAATATGTTATATCATATCTTTAGATTCGCCAATATTCTTTGTGAATTTATTTAAAACATGTTTACCTCACAGTTAATTTACTTTGTAAGTAGAGTTCTTATTAGAGAGTTCTTGAACCTTAAAGTGTATACAATACAATCTTTAACACACAAGATTTTTCTAAGATTCTAGTTACTTTATCTCTTTATCTAAGATTCTAGTTTGGCTTCTTTTACAAAAATAATTTACCTCTTAACTTATTTTTTAAATGTTTAGATTTTGAAGAAATAAAGCAAACATTGTTTTGTTTTTAACTAATTAAGTTATATATGTTTTTATAACATACAGGGTGGCCCATCGAAAACGTTCCGCAAGGCATAACGGCCAGGGTAATTTTTTATTCAGAAAATTCAAAAACACGTCAATTTTGTTTGTGAGGGGGACAACTTTTGCCCCAAAAATGATTGCAAAATCTTCAACCCCCTAAACGGGGGTGTCATCCCCCAATTTTTTTCAAGCGGAAAGGGGGGTCAAGTGGTACCGTAATGAAAAGGGCTTTCTATTCTCTATACTTTCCCGCTTCGTTTTTGAAAATCGGTCGAGTGATTAATTTGAAAAGTTTATTTAAACATTTATCAGAGTAAATGATAAGGATAAATTCCTTCAACCAATTTGCTGTTTTTTCTTATTATTCCTAGATGTTTACGCATTTTTTCACTTGTCACAAGGTTGAACGATCAGGTTGGGTAGTTGCTAGATAGCTGTTCTGTGACTTGTGCGTTGAAGTTCTTCTCAATATCGTTAAACTTTTTAACAATTATGGTGTACTCACTTGCAGAAAAAGTGGAAATAATCGAACTTAATTTAAAAAAAATGAATGTGGCATCAGGTTGCGCAGATATTCAATGAACGCCATCCTGACAAACAGGTTTATGGCAAAATTGTTCGCGAGTTAGTAGCAAAAAACTGGTTTCGTTATGAATCAAAAGAGGCAGAGGGAAAATCCTGTAGTAAATGAAGCTATGGAAGTATTCGTATTGGGCCAAGTTGCCATGGATAGTACGGTGAGTACAAGAAAATAAGTCAATGAGACCGGCGTGAATCGTACAAGTGTCCAATGGATATTAAAAAAACACAACGTTCATCCGTACAAAATTCAGGTGGTACAAGAACTCAACGAAGACGATTTTGATCGTCACTTGCAATTTTGTGAAACTATGAGTGAACGAGTGGCCAGTGATAATAATTTCCTATTTAATGTGTGTTTTTCGGATGACTGTAGTTTCTTTTTGAACGGTGTAGTTAATCGGCACAACTGTCGGTACTGAGCTGAGGACAACCCCAGGGTTTTTCACGAGGTGCACACACAAAACCCTCAGAAATTGAACGTGTGGGTTGGTATTTTTGAAAATTCTATTGTGGGTCCTTTTTTTCTTCCTGGAAATCTAACAGATCATATGTATTTGGATTTACTGGAAAATACCATCGACCCAGCCCTAACTGACATCATAGAGAACAATCCTGGATACGTTGAAGCGGAACTAATATTTCAACAAGACGGTGCACCTCCACGTTGCTCTCAAAATGTGCGTAATTTTTGAACAATAACTTTCCCAGTCGGTGGGTAGGACGAAGGGGTGCAATTGAGTGGCCTCCCCGATCACCCGACTTGACTCCTTTAGACTTTTTTCTATGGGGAGACATAAAAAGTAAAGTATATAGCACTCCACCCGCCTAATTAGAAGACCTGCGAAGACGAATTATTTATTGATGTTTGTCGCGAAGTGACCCCGCAAGTTCTTCAGAATGTTCGAGAACGGTTTGAAAATAATTTGTATTACTGTATGGAGGTTGACGGGCAACATTTTCAGCATTTGCTTCATTAATAAGTTAAGTTTTTTTTAATTAATTCAATTTATGCGTTTTTTTGCAAAAAGTAATTTTCAAATTTCAATCCTTCATATTTTCAAAATGACTCGACCGATTTTTAAAAACAAAGCGGGGAAATATAGAGAATAGAAAGCCCTTTTCATTGCGGTGCCACATGACTCCCCTTCCCATTTGAAAAAAGTTGGGGGTTGACACCCCCGCTTAGAGGGTTGAAGATTTTGAAATCATTTTTGGGTCAAAGCTTGTCCCCTTCACAAACAAAATTGACGTGTTTTTGGATTTTTTGAAAAAAAAAAATACCCTGGCTGTTATGCCTTGCGGAACGTTTTCGATGGGCCACCCTGTACAAAATCAATAAAGAAAAATAAATCTTACTAGAAACTGATCGTATGAGTATTTAAAGATATTTTTTTTAAATATATTATAATACATACCTCTTTAAGTTCTTTTATTCATATACTCCCCTGTTCTGAATCCGGAAAATGTCTCACCAACTTCTGAAAAATTAAATTAAAATTAAATAGTAATTAAACTTACAAATAAAATTTAAGGAAATAACTACAAATATCAAGGAGAAAAGAGAAAACAAAAATTCATTAATATATAAAAAAGTATAGTACATATTTGCTTTAGAGTTTTTTAGATTTTTAGAAGTTTTCCAAACCATAGAAAAACAAGGTAATATAAAATTTCTCATCCGTATCCAGAGTTAGTTAACCCTGGAAATCACCATTAATAATCTGCCGTAAATTACCATATGCAGGGTGTCCCAGAAATAAGTGCAAGTATTTTAAAGGATGGTACATCTCAATAAAAGAAACACATATTTTCTCTTTATCGTTTTTCAAATAAGTCCAAAATAACGGAGTTATTTTACTTTGAAAATTTCCAAAAAAAATGATTTTTTGCTAATATTTTGAGAACTACTGGATCTTTTCTGGATTTTCTTTCTAGTAAATTTAATTTAATACCTATGTTGCCATACTATCAAAAAATTATGTTTTTAAACTAAAAAAATTTCCAAAAAATTTCGAATTTTAATTTTTTTTTTCGCGAAAAAAACCGCATACGCGTTTTTCTAAGGTTGAACTACCAGTTAAAATACTTGCACTTATTTCTGGGACACCTTGTATAATAAATAATAATTTTAAAACTACTCAGGCTACATTGCAGTAAATGTTTAATTTAAAAGTAGGAAAAAATAATCCCAAAGGCCAATGTTCTCGTCCCCAATGACTGTTTGATGACCTCTCCAAACGATTATAGTGCGTCTGTGACTGCGACTTCCGGGACTTTACCGGAAACCGTACCGGAAGTGGCCGGAAACGACGGATTGCGACAAAAGCCGAATAAGAATTGAGCGTCGTAAAGGGGATTTGAGAGCACTTTTTCAAGAATATTATATTTTCAAGCGTCTCGAGTGGCTTCGGAACATGAAAACTTTTGTCGTTTTATTACTTTGACGTCCATAATTTTATTAACTCAACTTCCCGTCCATGGATACTGTGAATTTATAAAATGTCGAAGAATGTTCAAAAAGGGGATATAAATTTGTAGTATATACAGAGTGGTCCAATAATAGAAAATAGCATAAAATTATTTTTTACTGTTTGAATTTATAATTAATTTTGTCTTTTATTTGGATCATTAACATACCTATATTATTGGTAGTTTATTTATTTAAAATTAATAATCTCAAAGAATGCAAACTAATTAAAAATCATAGAGATGTCTAAAAAGTCAATATATTTTCACACTTTTTGAGGAATTAATTGTTCTAAAAATATTAATAATAAAAATGATTTTAATCTTGTAAAGACGACGTGTTTGTTGTAGTTGTTGTAGTAGTTGTTGTTAATCTTGTAAAGACGACGATTCGGGGACATACGGTACATTATACAGGGTGTCCCAGGGTGAGCGTGCATTAGAAGTTTCTAGAGAACTGCAATATCTAGATCAGAGATTTTTTGAACATCATTGTTTCACAACGAGATCTATCGATTAAAAATATTTTCAATATGGCGGCACCGGAAATACCGGCAGTTGACAGTAACTTTCTTATTTTAAATGGGTGCCCCCATTTTTTATATACTTAAATTCTCTGTAAAATCTTATGAATTTTGATATTAAACACTCTATACCTAACATTAACCGTTTCTGAGAAAAAATACATTTAAAATTTTTGAACGAAAAAAACTACCGGTCAAAAAAATTTGACATTTTCGTATACAGTTTAACTGGAAATTATAACATACGGTTCATAACAAGAATTTGGCTGGAAATAAAAAAGTTTGTGGTACCAAATTATTCGTAAGAAAATGCTTTTTCTAAATATACCAATGAACCACCCTCAACAATAGACAATTAAAGCTTTTTTCTAAGGATCCTTTGATTAAAAATTAGTGTTTTTAACATAGCCATGGCACTCTAAATTGAAATTTCAAATACGATTTTTTTAAATGTCAAAAGTTGACATATAATATGACATTCTATTCAGAGTGTTATTTTCTATCAAATAAATTAAAAAAAATACAGAGGGTGCCATCTTAAGTTTCTAAAGTTGTAGACATTTCCAGTGAAACATGAAGTAATCGAAACAAATTGAATATGTCAATCAAATCATAATTGTCATATGCTAACATACCCAATATCGCTTTTTATCAGAAAAAATAAAAAAGTTATAGGGGCGATTTTTGCGATTTTGAACACCAGTTTGTAATTTGTTGCTCATCTCTAGTATCAACATTAAGATAGATTATGGAGGTATATTCCCAAAGTTTGTATATCATATATTCATATTGGCAGACATTTTGCTGAATTGGCATATGATACGTCCTGGTCATTGACTGTCACATACACTGTAGTGGAGGTAATCAATTTTTTTTCTTTTTGATGCAGAATTGATTTTGATTAAACATTTTTCTCAATAACACAAATATTTTTCTGTTCTTATTTATTGCAAACTTTTCGGTGGTTACTGCGTAATCTGCGTGTACACATCGACAGTTTTTGAAAAAAAAATATACAGGGTGGCCCATCGAAAACGTTCCGCAAGACATAACAGCCAGGATATTTTTTTTTTTTCAAAAAATCCAAAAACACGTCAATTTTGTTTGTGAAGGGGACAACTTTTGCCCCAAAAATGATTGCAAAATCTTCAACCCTCTAAGCGGGGGTGTCATCCCCCAACTTTTTTCAAATGGGAATGGGGGTCAAGTGGCGCCGCAATGAAAAGAGCTTTCTATTTTCTATATTTCCCCGCTTCGTTTTTGAAAATCGGTCGAGTCATTGAGAAAATATGAAGGATTGAAATTTGAAAAGTTTATTTAAACATTTATCAGAGTAAATGATAAGGATAAATTCCTTCGACCAATTTGCTGTTTTTTCTTATTATTTCTAGATGTTTACGCATTTTTTCACTTGCCACAAGGTTGAACGATCAAGTGCGGTCTCAATATCGTTAAACTGACCTACAATATAATTTCCAAAAATACCAGCCCGCGACGATCACAATCGTCTTCGTTGAGTTCTTGTACCAACTGAATTTTGTACGGGTGGAACTTGTGTTTTTTTAATATCGTTTGGACACTTGTACGATTCACGCCGGTCGCGGTCTTATTGGCTAATTTTCTTCTTTCTTTCTACTCAGCGTACTACCCATGGCAACTTGGCCCAATACGAATACCTCCATAGCTTCATTTACTACAGGATTTTCCCTCTGCCTCTTTTTATTCATAACGGAACCAGTTTCGTGAAATTTTGCTACTAAATCGCGAACAATTTTGCCATAAAGGTGTTTGTCAGGATGGCGTTCATTGAATATCTGCGCAAACCGATTGCCACATTCATTATTTTTAAAATAAAGTTCGATTATATCTACTTTTTCTGCAAGTGAGTACACCATAATTCTTAAAAAGTTTAACGATATTGAGAAGAACGTCAACGCACAAGTCACAGAACAGCTATCTAGCAACTACCGCACCTGATCGTTCAACCTTGTGGAAAGTGCAAAAATGCGTAAACATCTAGAAATAATAAGAAAAAACAGCAAATTGGTCGAAGGAATTTATCCTTATCATTTAGTCTGATAAATGTTTAAATAAACTTGACTCATGACTTGACCGATTTTCAAAAACGAAGCTGGGAAATATAGAGAATAGAAAGCTCTTTTCATTGCGGTGCCACTTGACCCCCCTTCCCGTTTGAAAAAAGTTGGGGGATGACACCCCCGCTTAGAGGGTTGAAAATTTTGCAATCATTTTTGGGGCAAAAGTTGTCCCCCTCACAAACAAAATTGACGTGTTTTTGGATTTTCTGAAAAAAAAACCCTGGCCGTTATGCCTTGCGGAACGTTTTCGATGGGCTACCCTGTATAAGGATATGTCTGAACATCCCTACGCTAACGTACACATAATTCTTTAAGATATTTTCGTGTGGCTAAGCAGGAGCGTGAAAAATAAATTCGTCGGAAAGATTACGGGGGCCCTGCCACCTTCAACGTTTTCCCAGTACAGTATCGCTTGCTAAGCATCATTTATCTTAATAAAATTTGAAGCCTGCCAGTGGCGTGCCTGCATATTTTTACCGCGGTGGTGTCATGATGAGGTGGATGTGCTATTTGAGGCTACAGTGATTAAGAGCCCATTTCACTAGTCCGAAAAAGCAGCAAAATAACCGTTCGGCATTTAACGTTTTATGTAAAACTGGCTAGGTATTTTTACACAAATGAAGAAGGAAATTAAAAGTAAAGGATTATACTGTATCCGTATTGTAGCACATTTTTAGAGAACTTTATTTTTAAGATTTTGCTGGTCAAACACCAACAAAATATTCCTTATGTTTGGACTAAATTTTCTCGACAATAATGACATAATTTAAAATCTCGTTACAATACGGATATAGATTAAAGATTTGTGGTTGCAGTGATATACAATTTATATAGTTTTGTAACAAATTGCTCGCTATTTTATGTCAAATGCTAAAGTTCTGGAAACCTTAATAATCAAGCCTTTATCAAAGCACGTGTGTTTAAAATTTTGGGTATGACTTAATACGACAGAATCGGGCTAAGCCGGCAGATTTCTGAAATATATAATATACACACACCGGAAAAATCTATGGATATCATTTTATTAAAGTTAAAAATAAATGTTTTGAATAAACAACCACATATTTGTAGGCCGATTCTTTCTACTTCGATTGAAACGAAGTAGTCACACTAGTTATTTCTAAATTTGGGATATTTGCAGAAGTGTTTGTGCATTTTTTGTCAAATGTATAAAAAGCACCTAGCATCAATTGTTCGAATTTAACCTGTACTGGCTATGTTTTTATGATAACTGGCCAGATTTCATTCAAATAACTCTGTTTAGTATTAAACGACATTATGGGGCGTAGACATCTTAACAGAGACGAAATGCTAAGGGCCATGGGTATGCTCAAAGCTGGAATGCGCCAAATCGACTTAGCTAGAGCATTAAATACAACGCAAAGTGTA